GAGTTTTTAAGTTGTTTGCCAAAGCATAATGATACTGTGCTGAAATAACCCTGGATGGGACCTTGTTGCCATGAGCATCGCAGGACGCGGCCGCCTATCTCTGTGGCAGGCCCAGCTAACAGATAATGCACAGGGAGGAGAACGTTCAGCACGGGGAATGTGATTGCCTCCTCTGGGGGCAGCAGGGTCTTCTCAAGGGCTGCTTCGTTACCAGCCCTTTTTTTTAATGACTGTTGCTGCTTAAGGCCCTCCCTTCATGGGCCTGGAATTTCGTGTCCTTTCCCCGCTTTGCTTGGGGGCCTCGTCCCGTTACGTAATGTCCTCTCGGGAAAAGCCTTTCTGGCCACTCCTAGTCGTGTTTTGGCGTCTTCAGGAAGTCGTGAGGGAGAGGGAAGAAAGTAGGACGAACACGACGCCAAATCCAGCAGTGATACACTGATGCTCTGCAGGAACGTCCCTTCAGGTACATCACGTTGTTCATATGAAGCGGCCTGTTAGCTAAAACCAAGGGTGATCACCCACCAAAGTGATTAGTAACATGGGTCCAGGGTTGGAACAAGGGCAATGGTTGTGGTAGGGGAGCAGCTCAATACTGGGCCCAGGTGTTGGGTGATGCGGAGCACGTGTTGAGGGCCGACGATGGGCTTTGTGAGCAGAGCTGAGCCTGTGTCTCAAGAGCAAGGAGAATTCAAGTTCTGGACAAGAATTCCAGCTGGAAATATGCTCGTAAAGCTATCAAAAATCACCTAATCTCTGAGGCTTGAGGCTTTTGTGTCCCGATACAGGCAGAGCTGCGTGCGAGCGTGTCGCGCGCCGAGGCCCAGGCCTACCCGCGTCACGTCCTCCTGGGTATTGGTAAAATGCTCAAATAAAACTTCGGCCTTAACTTTTTGGTTTGCCATCTGCTCAGTGATCATCAGGGCTTATTTAGGTTGGTGTTTTTGTTAGCAAAGCAGCGCCTCCAAATTTCCTCCAGAGTCGTTTGTGCAGCTTAAGCGACCGTCGCCACGGACGGAGCCCCGTTTCCCTGTCCAAGCTCCCCGCTCCATACTCATCTTTGGTGAGCGTCCACAACAGCCGAAGATCAGCAGCTGAGGACGAGCAGGGTGGTGTCACCCAGCACCGCCGGGCACGAGGTGGGTCTTCAAGGAGCGTTCACGGCACATCCAGCCTCTTGGGCCTTAATGAAATGATCTCTTGGGCCTTAATGAAATGACCGTGGGCTTTTCCCAGAGCAAAGCCTGCAAGTCGCAGCAGCCGTCGCAGTAGTTGCGGTTTTGCTTCGCGTGCTGCGAGCGTCGTCCCCGCTGCCGCCGGCGCGTTGAGCTGCCCCTCGTCATTCGCGGCTCCGTGTGGGGAGACCCAGAAGCAAGTGGGGCTGCTTCCACGGCTGCGGGTTTGGAATTCCCTTCCCGGCCCTCATATCCAGGGCTCAAACGTTTCTGGCATATGCAAAGGTTTCTAAACATTAAATTCTCTATTCAGATGCATCCTGCTTCTAAATAATGTTCTGGATAGCTTGAGCCATCACTTGCTTTCAGACAGATTTTCAGGGGAGATGGTGTATTGGGCCCTCCAAATCTCTAAATTCTCTCTAAATTATTTTAACGGATATAGTTTCTTGTTTACTCTGCCCAGTTGAGAGAGCTCCCTGGAGCTTGTCTATTTTAGCATTTAATTACTGTGTACATTCACAGATTAAATTCCATCGTGGTCCATTTTGCTTTGCTGGCGAAGCAGCGATGGCCCCGGCTCCCAGCACATCCAAAGAGCGGGGACTTGTTGGCTTCATTTCTGCAGGTGCCTTTCCTTGGAAATGCTCTCCACTTAATTATGAAGCAAAGCAAAAGCGGGACCCTCAAAATTGGTGGTTTGAGTGGGATTTTATAGGGAGAAAAACAGCTTTGTGTAATTATTTTATGCCTAGATGTGCAACAGATTGCTTCTTTTTAAAACAGTTTCTGCTTTAAGACCTGCAGGTCTTCATTTTGGGGGATGAAGGTTTCAAAGCTCACTGTTTCTTGTGACAAAATAGCAATACGCAGTTAGGAAACTTGTTATCCTCCATGTTTAGCCCCTCTTGCATGATGGTGTACGGTGCTTATGCATCGTTGTAAGATATTCCTGCTGGTGAGAGAATTACCAAGCAGTGAAGAGGTGCGATGCTTTGGGCCCTGGTTTCTGCCCGGTGAAAGCGTTTCGGTGCTTGCACACCGTGCGTGCAGCAAACAGGACGGTGCCGTTTTGGGAACCGGGGAGCGCGGGGCCAGGACTGAAGGTCCCTGTGCCAAAGGGCAGCTCAGCGGGAAGAGGGAAAAGAGACTCTGCCGGTTTCCACGGAATGTAAGAATGGGTCCCGGGGGGCAAAAATGGCCTGTATTTTTGACTCTGCATAGCTAGAGCAGTGAGGTCAGTTTAGCAGAAAATACAAATCTATTTCTTGCTTGTTGCCTCCTGCTATTAACCTTGTGGAAGACTTAGTGTCAGAAAGTAGATAATTACAGGAGGCAAAATGACTGCAAATACGTTTTCTGGGGAAAGGAACTGCAGTAACAGTAGAGCCCAAATGATTCAAGCTTATCTGAAAATCTCTTTGATACCTGCATTACGAACTGCATATTCTCCTGAAAAAAAAAATAATAAAATAATAATTCCCTGTAGTTCTGGGATGTCTCATGTTACAGGATGGGTGGATTTTTTTGAAAAGTGCAACAGCCTTTGTGAGAAGTGGCTTTTAGTACATCGGGACATTCAGAGATGTTTTTTCTCAAGTTGCTGGTAGGTCAGAGGAGGAAGGATAACCCCTGGTGAGATCAACTCGGGACCGAAGCGCCTTGAGAACGTCCTTTCCAGCAGCAGAAAGGAGGTTTTCAGGCCTTTCTGCATCTGGGAGCTGCTTCCCCCAGGCCGTAGATGCACCTTGGCTTTGGTTTTGTGCTTAAACTGATGAAAAGGGGTGAGGATGTGACAAGAGACAGGCACCCTTATAAAAAGAACAAAGCAAAGCATGTTTTTTATGGAAGCATATTGTATGATTTGGAAGTAATGAGCTAATGAAGTGTTTTTCTGCATATTTACATTATGTTTTGAACTGTTAGTAAGAAGAGGTGTGACACCATTGATTTTAAAACCATTAAAGCATTCAAAAACCCTGGTGTCTTGTCTGCAAGCGGGAACATCTCCTAACTGAGTCAAAGAAGGATCCAGCCCAAAGCACGAGCACTGTTTCCTGGTGGCTGTAGCTCACAAGCAGAGATACCTTCCTTTGGTCAGCCTCGAAGTGAGGACGTAATTCAAGTTATTTCATCCTTCCTGCTTGCTCCTTTACTGTTCGGTGTGCACATAACTGAGAAGTAGGTTTTAATGTGCCAGTTATGCTCGACATGAATGTTTGCGTTTACATTAAGTGCCGGTTTTCTCTAAAGCGTCTCAGCAAAGAACCGATGTTCCCTTCATGTTCGCCTCAGCTGCCGCCTTCACGCCAGAGTGAAAGCTGAAAATCTGCCACTGGTAAAAGCAGGTTGCTCTTAAGTGACACCCTGTGTGCCTGGATTTGCCTGGAGGACGTGGCCAAGGAAGGGCCATCTGGTTCAGAGGCCACCTGTGTGACGAGGTGCAACCCCGAGGACGCTACACACGCAGGACAGCAGCAGATTATCATCGTTCCTACCTGTGTGACAGCAGAAACACCCTGATCATCCTCCTCCTTTCACACATTCTCAGCCCCTTGGACCTTAATCTTGCTCTTTGATTGGCAGTGGTGGCTGAGGATGCGCCCTCGTGGTGTTTGTGATAGTCACATCTGCTCAACTTGCTGCTGCGGAGAGTATTTGCATATTCTTAAGTCTTCCTTCTGAGAGGGCCTAAATCCTTCTCGAGTGTTTGATGCATTTTTTTGAAATTCATTCATAAGGTATCTACATGCACTAATAGTTCTGTATAATATTGCTGCGCGTAATCTGACAGATAAGGCTAGTTTTTTAAACAAGGTATTCTTTGGGGAATGACATATTACAGTCTGCCTTATTCTACTGGGCGGAAATGTCAAGTACTTTGAAAAAGGATGCCTGAATGTTTTGATTGAATTACTACTCCATATTCAACACAAATTGTCAGCTGCAATAAAATGTAGACTTATTGTGAGAGCATCTTTCAAAAGAGTTAACATCAGGGCTTTCCTGATTTATTTTTGTTACTAGAGCCTTATTACATGTAATCATTCCTTTCCTACTTATGCTGATATCAAACACAGCGAGTAGATTCTTAGATGCATTTTAGATTAATTTATGTCTGAATTACTGAACTGTGAGCAACACCTTTATCTTGAAATACAATTTAGTCTTCTATCTTTCTCTTACCTTTTTTTTTTTCTTGTACAGTTTTTATTGATGTTTTTGGAAGGACTGTCAGCCTTAATTTCAGAAACCAGTGACTCTTGATAGTGCATGTGCAACACTAGTGAGAAGTAATCTTGCTTTCAAAAATATTTAGGTGTTATAGTTGAGTGCTAGATACTGATAGTGGCTCAAAGTAGTACCTTAATGTTCTGCTACTATTTTGTATAGAAACGTATGTACTATTAAACCCTGTTATCTTATGTGGGTTGGATAAAAACCTGGTCCAGTTCTCTAAAGGAGTAGCAGAGATATATTGCCATTTGCTTACATGGAAACCTGCAGTGGATGAGGCTGTGAGATGATACGAGCCTCGATGACCGAGCATCTGATATGAAAATTCCCTAGTTAAAAACCAATTTGTCCACTAGGCCTGTCTTCAAAGGGCCATCGTCGGTGGTGGGGCTGCTTTTAGAGCTGGCTTTTTGTCCCTGGAGAGGATCATAGCAATCCATTGGGGCTGCACAGTTGGAAGAAGGACGATGCAGGTTTAACAAATTCCTTATTTTTCTGTTTGGTTGTTTTTTGTTGGTTTTATGTACATGAGGGTTTTATTGCAACAACCCCTTGCACCTTTAATGTTCTTTTTTTTTGGTCCACTTTCAGGAATCTCCTTCTGGACGCAGAAAGGCACTTGCCACCAGCAACATCAACATGAAGCAGTATGCGAGCCCCATGCCTACCCAGACCGATGTCAAGTTGAAATTCAAACCTTTGTCCAAAAAAGTGGTATCTGCCACACTGCAGTTCTCTCTATCTTGTATTTTCCTGAGGGAAGGAAAAGCCACGTAAGTGGGGTTTGGTTTCATTTTGTTTTTAATTTTAAGCAGCTAGCCTGCTTTGTGCTGCTTTGTAAAAATGGGTCTTTTTAGGACAAACCTTCTTTTGGAGGAAATCAATTGGATTCAAAGATACATTCCCACTTAGGAGTGGGGCTTCACTACTGCCCTGAACCAGGAATTTAAAAAAAAAAAAAAAAGTGCTTGTGAAAGCACTGTTTTGTTGTATACGTAACTTTGGGGAGGTCAAGAGTGTCCTATTAGTCAAAACAAAAGTGAGAATTCAGGTGTTCTGTGTGTGAACAAACACAAGGTGAGAAAACATGAGCTAGATCAGGGCTGATTTGCGCCTGTTCCAAGGAATCTTTCTCCCAGGGGAAGGATTTTATTACATACCTGCTCTCGTGAGCATCCTAGCTACACAGTTAGAACATGTTGAGTTTGACTCACCTGATGCTGCCTTCTTTTCCTGTGTTTAATCTGATTTAATCTATTGATTATCAAAACAGGATGATGAATCCTGGAGCATATAGCATGAAAGGAAAGGTCTTTGCAACTTCCCAATAGTTACTTGTTCTGGAATTATTATTAATTGTTCTTATTTATATTATAAAACACTTGCTCTTCCCAGATGACAGGAAGGTCTGTGGTGCTGATTATTGTGAACTCTTGAGTGCAAAGTGAATTTCCCCAAAGAATTTCTGGGTTTAACAGTATTTTAAGGTGCTGGGATTAATTCCCATGTTTTAAGTGCTTCTGAGTTTCGGAGTTCACAGCGCAAACTTGTGCGTGGTTTGTGTAGCATCTTTATTCCTGCAAGACCCAAGCTGAGGGAAGAAAAGAAAACATAAAAATATTGTATTCTTAAAAATCTTCTACGTAGTATCAGATATGGTCTTAATGGCTGGATTTTTAATGACTGCTTTAAAATTTGTTGCTTAGGGATGAAGATATGCAAAGCCTGGCTAGCTTGATGAGTATGAAACAAGCCGATATTGGAAATCTAGATGACTTTGAGGAAGACAATGAAGAAGATGAAGAAAACAGAGTGAATCAAGAGGAAAAGGCTGCAAAGATTACAGGTGAGTTTCTCATGTGGGAGGTAATAGTTAGGAACTAATGTAGTAGGTGAACAGTAATAGTAGGTGAACAGAGAAGTAGAAAGGTCAATGAGCAAGAAAGCAACAGATGAGGTAAGTGGAAGATTATAGTGTGTTTGGGAGAATAACTGAGAAATCAGTGGGTGTGGAGGTTCTGTTCAATAAATGGTAATTTCAGGCAGTGTCCTTCCTTTTGGTTGGGGCCTGACTTGGTGAAATAAAAACATGAGAGCGTTACAGGTCTTGAACTGAATTTGACAGGGGGTTTCAAGTGGCTTTCTAAGTAAAGGTCAGCCTCGGAGGTGCTTCTTCTTCTTCTTGGGTTGCCTGCAGCAGCGGCGTTGCTTCACTGGCCTGGCTAAGTCTTCTCCAGGTATACAACGAGCAGCCCGGGAGGAATGGGAGTGAGTGCAGCCCCCCGAGGAAATGGGAGAGTGTAAAATAAGGGCAGGAAGTAGCCACGAAGCAGTACAACGTAAAGGATCTGTTCCAGCATCTGTTCAAGCAGACGTAAAGATGTCTCTTGATTTCACTGGCAGTTGGAGTGACTCCTATAATAAACATCATGAATGGTGAAAACTAATAAAACACAAGGAAAAAAGCTGAAGAACCAAGGAGAGGGGGGATAAACTGTTTCTGATAGAAACCAGAAAAAAATAGGAATATAGATGGAGAAAGGGAACAAATCTGATGTGGTGACTTTTATTTTTTTTCTTTAAAACATAATGGTGCTGCCAGGCGCCCGTGAAGTTAATTGTGGGAGTTACATAAGCCCTTTGGAAGGGCGCTGCTCCCAAGGTTTGCTCCGCCGGGGCGGCGTCCGTCCCGGCGTCGAGGTCTTGTCCCAGAGCTGCCTCTGTTGAGTGACCTGACGACTCGCGTCGCAGACACGCGACCTGCAGGCACGTGGCAGGGTGCAAAAATTACGTTTTTTTTTCTTCATTGGGCCCAAAGCGTTGTAGTTTGAGAGCTGAAGGAGCAGATTCCCAGCGGGAGAGCAGGAAGCTGCTGCCAAGGGCTCTAGGGGGTGCAGGTGAGTTAGGGAAGGCTGCCTCTCCCCGGGGCGCTCTCCCCAGTGCGTTGTGTAACTCGGGGCAGGGAGCCGGGCTGCTGTTTCTCCAGCTCCGTGGAATCAGTGAAGCAACACTCACCTCCTTCGGAAGCACCGTGGATGTGGGAGCAGTCAGCACGGGAGCTGCTGCTGTAAAGCCGACCTTAGCGTGAAACTGAAAGAGGTTTTCCATGCAAAACTCCATTTAATTAAAAAAATATCTTCCTTCCTCCATCTCTGTCCCCTTCCTCTCCAGTATTTGTGGCTTATACCTTTTCAAATATACAAGCTCTATCTCCATCCAGCTATTCTGTTCTGTGTGAACATAAAAATAATGTGCTTGTAGTCATAATCTACCATGCTTCAAATTTTTGGTTGCTAAGTCATTAAAAAATGTGGGTTTCAACCACCCAGAATGGCTCCATACTTATTCCTGAGGTGAAGACAAGCCCTTCCAACATCCCTGGAGAAATTTGCCTCGTCATGCACAAACAGGATAGTAACACGTAGCCGTTTCCCTTCATGTTTTATTTGGTAGCTGCAGGCTGGTGCTGGAGCTCACAGTGTCCCATGCACAGGAGCGGGAGCCGTGCGCTGCCTGCAAGGAGAACCTTTAACTCCTTAATTTAATTTGTCATTTAAACATACACCCCTCGTGCAAGCTTCTGATATGAAACAGAGCAAGAAGTACCTTTGGTTTTGTGTTTTCTTTTTTTTTTTAATTCAGTAGCACCAAGCTGCTTAAAAAAGAGAGAAAGAAGGAAATAAAAAAAAAAGAGGGAGCGAGCAGTGATTTATGCGACATACTTGTAGAACAGGCTAATATACCTTTGTAGATAATGAGATATAAAAAAAGATAATATAGGGCATAAATCTCCAACCTGCCATTTCCACACTCCAAAATATGACATAAACCATTTAGTATTGAAATGAGAAGCATTGTAATGTGTATGGGTGTTTAGGTTGGCAGATGGGACCGGGTGATTCAGACCACATCAAAGAATCCCTTTTTAAAGCTCTGAATTTAAATTGTTATTTTCTGACAATAATTGTAATTGTTTTTTTTTCACATGCTGGAATAATAAATTGTAAATCTTGTCAGCATCTCACCCCATCTTTAAGTAGTAATTTGTTTGTACTACTGTTTTATAAGGTCAACTCTGTTTTATTTGAGCACAGCAAGGTATTTGCCATTGTGTACTTTGAGTCTTACAAACTCTCAAAAGACAGTATTATATTGTTCCGATCTCTAAGGTTTATATATGATTTTATACTGAGCAAGCGGAGAGTTTTTGGCAGGTGGTTGGTGTGACTTTTTAAGACCAGGGTCTTGTTTGTTGGAGCTCAAAGTAACGAGGTGAGACCAGTGGCATTAACTTTCTGTAGATAGCTATAAATTCAATCACAACTGAGTAGATTTTGCTTTTAGATAAAGAATATTTAAGGGAAGGGGTAAAGGGGAATTTTTCCATGGCTGTGCCATCCTCAGAATAGACCAAGGTGCCATCGTTTGACTTGGAAAAGTGCAGATTGGGAAATTTATACAACAATTTAGCTTTGGGGGAAGAGATTTTTGCTACGAGTGTGAACTGCCCAGCAGGGCACTAAGGGGCACCAAGCGGGAAGGTGTTGCCCTGGGCTAGAGCATTAAGGGCAACTGGAAGGAGCCTTTCTCTTGCCCGGGGTTCCTCCTGCCCTCCATTGGGTACAGGCAGATGCCGAGGGTTCCTCCTGCGCTCCTCGGGTACAGGCAGATGCCGGGGGTTCCTCCTGCGCTCCGTTGGGTACAGGCAGATGCCGGGGGTTCCTCCTGCCCTCCTCGGGTACAGGCAGATGCCGAGGGTTCCTCCTGCCCTCCTCGGGTACAGGCAGATGCCGAGGGTTCCTCCTGCCCTCCTCGGGTACAGGCAGATGCCAAGGGTTCCTACTGCCCTCCTCGGGTACAGGCAGATGCCAAGGGTTCCTCCTGCCCTCCTCGGGTACAGGCAGATGCCGAGGGTTCCTCCTGCCCTCCGTCAGGTACAGGCAGATGCCGAGGGTTCCTCCTGCCCTCCTCGGGTACAGGCAGATGCCGGGGGTTCCTCCTGCCCTCCTCGAGTACAGGCAGATGCAGGGACGTGCGGCTCTGTCCCGGACTCTTTCGGGCTGCCCCGGGCTCAGACCCCGTCACCACAGCAGCTGGATTTGTCAGCTACTTTAAGGGGGATCAGAGAGGAATTTCTCCCCTTGGGGCAGAGGGGGCTAAGGCCTAGCTCTCTTTTTTCTTTCTTTTTTTTTCTTTTCATCTAGAGTTATAGAGGTACTACCATCTTAGAGTTAAACATCAGGATTAATATAATTTAAGAATTAGTAGTTCAGGGCCATTTGTTCCTCTCCGCTATGGACAGAAGGTGAAATGGGATCGTGGCAAACAGGGGTGTTACTGCCTTAAAATTGCAGTAGCAAGTGGAGCCAGTGCTTGGCTTCTGCATGATCGTGATATATTAGTGATTGGGTCCTTTGGATCCATGCTACAAATTCAGCTTGCCAAAGGTCAGATTTGAATGGAAACTGATCCTAAATGTAAGTAATTGAAATGTGTGTGTATGTATTTATAAAATACCTGCGTGTGGATGTATTAGTTTTCTGTGGCCCTAAGGGTTTGGAAGGGGTGTAAGTTGCTCTGGGGCTACTTTGTTTTGGTTAACAATGATTGAAAATTCAGGTTTTCCTCCTGAGTCAAAAAAATCTTTTAATTAAATTATATCCAGCATATCTAAGTTTTGAACCGGTGTGTATGGTTGCCTTCATAAGACTGATTACTGATGCTGACACTAGGAACTCAGTAAGGTTTTGTTTTATGCACATTATCTGGATTTACTGTCAAATTATCACTGAAGAATTCTGCACAGATGCTTTAGTGTAATTGTACAGAGTATGCTAAGGACTCTTTCTTAATGTAATCTTTT